TTTTTTTTGTGATGCATTCATTTGATTACTATATAAACCTTGTACTTACTCAAACACCTTCAATCCTGTCCTCAAGTTTGAGGAAGTAAATCATATTATCATACACTGGCACTCTGCAAAGTTGTCAACAATATGTTTGGTTCCGTACCATATTACCTTCATGATAAAAAAGTTGGTTGCTGAAGTACCCTGGGATGTATTTGGTCCTCACAGAATGGCTCTTGATCTCATTATATTATACAATTTGAAGAGTTTAGAAATGTGGTAAGATGGTCTGGTAGAGCAAAAATTGGGTGCAAGAGCTTGCATAAAGTGTCGGCATGTAAAACCAGGTTCGTTGACATATGGGTTTTGTAGGATATCAGGAAGAACATAGGAGGCCTATGATACCATGTGCTACAATATAACATTAATCAAGTTTAGATAACGTGCTATTCCCTAAGAAATAACTGTGTGGGTAATGTGTATTGTACGAAAAACGGATATGGTTATGGAATTGTCCTTCAATCACCAATAGTATATGGGTATGATGCTTGAGCTAACTGCTTGGAATCTCTTATTGTCTGCAGAAATTTAGTGCTTATCTACGTGCAGCTGCAATGACAGGTGAAAATTTTCTTGTCGTGTTATTTCTCTCAATTAATTTGATAAACATTTTTTTATCTCTATCATATATGGTTACTTTTCAGATTGCCCATGACACTAAATTAATCTTATATTTCATTGCCTGTTTCCGTCGTGTTAATATGTTTCAGTGCCTGCTAAATTAGTTGAAGCATACCTTGATTTAAGGAGGTTAGCGGAAGAACAAGTTAAGGTGAGCACCCATTGCTTCACTTGTCAGAATTATTGTCTGAAAAGTTAATGCTGTGAATATAGTATGCATCACTTTTAGCGTTTGTTTATTATGGCATTCTTTTAAACTTCTTAATTCATTTCAGGGTTTTACTGAACCTACATCAGAGAAGCTCCTTCCAGATTTGCACCCTATGGAGCAGCATGTTTTTACTCTTGTTCTTGATCTAAATGAAACATTGATATATTCTGATTGGAAGGTATAAAATATCAGGCCCAATTCTGATTATGTTCCTAGTTCTCATACATAATAAGTTAAATCTTTTCTCGGTTGATGATTAGAGTGTGTCTTTCTATTATTGAAATGGTATCCTTCGCCCTTGTGTGTGTTTTTGTGTGTCTTGTCTTTTTTTTTCCCCGTCAATTTTTTTTTCTTGCTCTGATATTGTGCAAGTCAGATTGGCCAAGTCTAACTTACTGTTTTCTTTCCCATTCATCAATTTAAAGCGTGACAGAGGGTGGAGAACGTTCAAAAGACCCGGTGTAGATGCTTTCCTCGAGCATTTAGCTCAATTTTACGAAATTGTAGTATACTCTGACCAACTAAATATGGTGAGTCTGCTCCTGATAAAAACGAGGGCTGTTGCCTTCAAATCTCATAGTTCAATCAGTTTTTATATCTTTGATTTAATTATTTCCTATCTATGAACTTACAGTATGTTGATCCTGTTGTCGAAAGATTGGATCCAAAGCATTGTATCCGCTATAGGCTCTCTAGGGGGGCAACAAGATATATAGATGGCAAGCATTACAGGGTATATTTATTCACTTGCTTTTAAGAATGCATCAGCTTTATTACACTTCATACTTTTTATACAGCAGTGCTATCCATGTTAAACTCTAAATTTCCAGATTTTGCTTTATCAATTATCATGCTGTCTGCTGTTGCCTTTTTTTTTTCCCCATTTCTTAAGAGTTAAGTTCATGGGCAGATGATGACTTACCTTGACACTTGAATGTTACACAAAAATCTTCTAACATTAAGCATATGCTCCTATATTGCTTTCAATGTGATAGCTGCATTGTTAATTTGTCAAAATTGGCAATTTTTAATTATATTTATAAAGTTATATATTCCTAATTAAATATTTACATCTTCCTAAAGTTGGTTCATTTTTTTTTTTTCAAATCAAGTCTTATTGTATTGTATCCTAATTTATGCTTGTAGAGCCGGTTTCTCTGGTTTCTTAATTTTTAGTTATTTTAAATTCATATATGTGCTAATTCAAAATATAAATTAATACATATAAATTTAATATCTTTCTAACTTTATGAAATATAAAAATTATATTCGTTATTTTTAATTATGATATTTGTTTATATTTGTTGTTTTGAACAGATAATAGCAATCAATTCTTTATATAAATCGAGGAGTAATATTTTTGAATATTTATTTTATGAAATATTTAATTTCACTTTTTCCCCAAAATCTGTGGAAAAACACACTAAAACATACTACCTCCTTTTTTAAATAAATGTCGTTTTGACTTTTTTGATTCATCCATTTTGCTATGTATCTAGACATATTAATGTCTAGATACATAGCAAAATGGATGAATCACAAAAGTCAAAACGACATTTATTTAAAGAAGGAGGGAGTATAGTTTATGGTATATTAAAGAGTTAAATTTTCATTATTTTATAAAGTAATTATAATGTAATTTGATATTTTTCAATTTGGTTTGATAAATAAATCTAGTTTTATCGACATAAATAGATGAAATTATTTTATAACTTATGTTGCAATATGGATGTCAAATTGATGATCGTTAAAAGATGATTAATTTGGTATATCATACATTAAAAAAAAGGCAAATATGAAGTCTATAAACTTTTACAGATAAGATTTCATATTTAGTAATTAATATATGAATTAAATACGAAAGGAAACGTAGTATAGGGTAATTTATGAAAAGGAAAAATAAATATTTTTTGGTAATCGCCAAAGAAATGTAAAATAGTTTATAAGTTATTTGGTTTCCTTAGAAAAAAAATTAATTTCTATCCGAACTTAGTTTTCAAAGCATGAATGTTTCCAGTTGCCACATAAGATTCCGAAGCGCGTGCTTATGTCACTTAGACTCAGCACATTCTGGAATTGTATATGGG